GGTGAGCAGAGCAGCCAGAGCTGCAGCCCCAGTGGTGCCAGCACCAGAAGCAGGATGGGCTGAGCATGGATGGATGGTTCCATCCCAGGGAGTGGCCAGGAGGCCCTTGGCAGTGCTGCCGAGATCAAAGTGGAGCAGCCCCTGTGTGCCTGGAAACCTCAGGGAACAAAAGCATCAAAGTAAATCAAATGAAACTAATTGAAGTGCCTCCCCATTCAGCACGAGGGGGAGGCTTTCATGGAACGCCAGCTCCTTCCCGGCAAAACCCAGGGACAGGCTTCCAAGAAAACCAAAGCAACAACACCCCCCCACACACACACACACAACAAAACCCCAAACCCAAACATCTCCCACCAAAGGGGAAGGGAATTCAGGCTGGGTGCCCGTGCCAGCCCCCCCCCAAGCACAGAGGCTGCTGCTGGCCCAGCCCAGCAGCTCCCAGCAGGTGCTGGGTGCAGGCAGCCTGGAGACCCAAAGCATTTTCCATTTCCCCAAACTGCTTCAGGCCCTGCTGCTTGCTCCAGGTGTGCCACGGGTGGAATTCCTTGCTGGAAGTGCCAAGGGGTGAAGGCAAACCCTGCACACAGCAAAGAGTGAAATGGTCCTGCCTGGCCATGGCTGGACCTCAGGTCTACAGGGCATGGACCTGGCAGCTTCTCCAGGGAAGCTTGGTGGGCAAAACAAAACTCCAAGAGTTCCAATGGACTTCAGGTCCAGCCTGGCCTCCAGAGGTTCCCAGCATGGCCACAGCCATGACCATGACCTGCTTGCCACTTCTGAGGAGCAAAGGGAGGGCTTGGCAAGCTTGCTCCATGCTGCCTGGGAAGCATCTCTGTGGCTCACCTATTTCTGCAGCTCCCTGGCTCCAGCAGCCTCAAGGAAGGACATCAGTGACAGTTTCACATCCCTCTGGCCAGGACTTAGGATTGCATCTTTGCAGTAACTCCCAGCCAGGCAAAAGGCAGAGCTGGTTTTCCCTCCTTGCTCCCCAAGAGCAGAACACGAGCCACGAAGCAGGATCAGTGGTGGGATCTCCACCAACATCATCCCTCTCCCTTCCCCAGCTCCTGGGCTGCCCAACCCAGCTCCCTGCTCCTCCAGAGAGCTGCTGCCAGGGCTGGACCAGTCCCACACCCATGGAAACATCCCTGTTAGCCCCTGGCTAAAACCAAGTTGTGGCCATGATGAAAGGAAGCCACATGAAGACAATTAGGCTGAATTATGTCCAGTTGCAGAAGCCAAGGCAGCAGGGAGAGGTGAGGCAGCCGGCTGCCCTGCCCCTTGCCTGCCACTCATACATCACCGATCAAGGGAAGCCCCTGCAGGTTGTTTTAAACCAAGGCCAGCAGGAGGTTGGGCTAATGAGTAAAATCTGAACATTCCTCAAATTTCCCATCCATCCCGAGTGAGGGGAGGGCGGAGGAGGGGGATGGGGACAAAGTGACTCTCCCCAGGGAGAGGCTGATCCTAAGAGAGGGACAAAACGCTTGAGCTGGGAGTGGGGAGCTGCTGTTCCCAAACCAGCCTCTGGGGAGGTGAAGATCAACTCAAGATGGGGCTCCAAACCCTTTCCCTCCCTGCACCAATTCCAGCCTTCAGCTCTGAAACCAAACTGGGGGGTGACTGGGAGACCAACCCAGTTGCTCCCATGGTGGGAGGAGGGTACAGATCCACCATCCTCCTCCTCCCAGGAGCATCTCAGGGAAATTCCAGGCTGGGGGGCTTCCAGGGGGGCTGCCACACAAGGGCTACATGGAGCAATAATGGGGCTTTTCAGCCTTCCCCAAGAAAGCAGCCCCAGCCTCTGGCACTGGATTATCCCACCAAACACAATTACACCCCAATCACAACTTACTCAAGGAAGATGCTGCTCAGCACCCAGTCTCATCCCCAGCAAAGCCAATAAACCAACCTTGCCCACCCATTCAGTGCTCCAAAGGCTGGGGGGTGGGAGGGGTGAAGGAGGAGAAAGGGAATTAAAAGACATCAAAGAGATGACAGGAAGCAAAAAAAAAAATAAG